AATTTGTAGGCATCGTCATTTTTTATTTAATATGTGTTTARGTTTTATAGTTTTAAATTATTTGGTGTTTAAGCATTTCATTTTCTAGCTTTGGWAYTTTTYAACTGATGTATTTTAGTCTCGTACTTTTTATTAAATGTATTTTAATTTCGTTTCATTTTCATTTTAATGTATTATTCCTTGTTTTTAGTAGATTTTTAAATTTGTTAGTAAAATTATATTTATAGATAATATATATATATATATATATATGATGTGGAAATCCATTAAACTCATTGGAGTGTTATGGAGTGTGGGTATAAAAAGATAGAATTGTATGGTGAGTGGAATGCTGATGTGGCAGTCCATGACACTCTAGTAGAGTGTCATGCACCGGAGATGCCCTAACAAGTTTTCCAAAATTGAAAAAATAGAAATCTTTGGGGATTTTGTGTTAATTTTTTTTACTCTAACAAATTCTTAAAAACCTTTCTTTAAAATGAGGGAAGTAGGAAAGATAACATAAAAATCTACAAATTTGAAAAAAATACTCTAAAAATCATTATAATAACAAAAAAAATTATTTAATATATATTTTTATTAATAAAAAAACTTAAAAATAAAATTTAGAAAGATAATAATATAATTGATATATTTAGAGAATGTATTTTTATTTTAAAATATTTAAAAATTTATTATCTATTTTTGAGAAATTTTAAAAAATGTATTGAAAATACTCAAAACCGTAAAATTTGAAAATCTTTTTGAGTTCAAAAACCGATAAAAACATGAAGAGTTGAAGTTCAAAAACATGGAAATGAAAAAGTAGAAAGCAAATAAAGTCTTCATTGGGTTTTTCAGTCTCCCAGGAATCTGACAAAAGCCTTTTCCCATCTCTCTCTCTCCCCCTCCGCCTGTCACCCACGTGACCTACGCTTCCACTCTTTGCATTTGATTTCAGACACCCTCTCTCTCTCTCTCTCTCCAGTCTTTATCATCCTTCGCCCATTCAAACACACCAACGCCATTGTAGCTGCTTCTTCAGTGAACCCCCAGCTGGGAGGTAGGTTTCATACACCCGGATCTGCTTCTCTTCTGGCTCAACCTTAAATTTTCTCTTTCTTCTACTCAATTACTGATCACTGTTCTGGGTTTGCTTCGATAAGTTTGATTTTGCTTGTTTCCTTCTTCTAAAAAAAGAAGAAGATAAAAATAAAACCCAACTCAGTCTCCTGTCTTGTGGGTTTATGCAGTCCGAGCTTCTGGGTTGTTTTGATCTCTGTGTTCTAGGTTCATTCTTCTGGTTTCCGTTTTAATTCACTTCGAATTAAGACGCTATGCAAGTGAAATTGTACCCCAGGAAGAGTCATTTCACTACATTCTTCATGTTTGTAATTTTGGGAGTCGGATTTGTTAATTTGGGGGTCTGAATTTTCTAATCTTGGCTGGTTACCTTGCTGTAAGCTACATTTGGGTTTTATAGCTGTATAGTCTCGATAATATGTGTTGATGTTAGTTCTCTAAAAGGGTATGTTTTTAATTGCTTTAAATTTGACATTATTGTGCTAAAATTTTGTAGGAAAATGGGTGTGATTTCACGGAAGATATTTCCAGCATGTGTAAACATGTGTGTTTGCTGTCCTTCTCTAAGATCACGTTCTAGACAGCCTGTGAAGAGATACAAGAAACTACTTGCAGAAATCTTTCCCAAATCACCTGTTAGTATACACCATACTTGTTTTGCTTCGGTTATTGTATTTATATCACATTGTCAAACTGTTTTAGCAGCATTTTGTTCCTGCAATCACTATCCAACTGTATTCTCTTGTGAAATATCTATATCTGCAATCAGTTTTTTTTTGGTTTTGGGGGGGGGGGGATGTATTCAGCCATGGCCTGAGCTCTAAAGAGTAAAGCGGCTGTTCCCCTCGAAACCCTCCGCCTTGTGCGCAGTGTGGGAACCAAAAATCAAACAGACGAACAAAGAACATATACAAACAGAAACAAGTACACGAAAAATGTAACAAAGGTAGGAAGGACTATACACCCCTAGTCCAACCTAGGATACAAGGGGTCTAGTTGCCGGCTCACTAAACCTTCGCCCAACCTCTATCCCACACCTGGTCGGGTACCCTAATCTTGCATCTCCAAGAACTCCTATCAGAAGTCATTTCCTCGGGAATACCTAAAGCCCTCATGTCTAACCTGAACCGGTCATCCCAAGGTCTCCTCGGCTCTACCCCTCCTTGTTATCCGTCTTCTATGACCGTGGCCAAACCATTGCAATCAGTGTTGGACTATTGGGCAGAACTCCCAACACCGCCCGGCACCTAGTAGACCTTGTCTGGAATCTTAAACATTGTCTGCCTATGGGTTCATCTAAGCATCCTCATGATTGCAACCTCCAACTTCTTCTCATGGGCCTTCTTTGTCGCCCAACATTTCGACCCACAAAAAACAGTTGGTCTGATGGATATCCAGTAATATTTACCCTTCACTGTAATTTGCCTTTCAGTTTTAGCGGGACCTTGTCACACAACACCACGCGACAGTCGTCCACTTTAGCTCCCCTTCCTTATGCAATGTGTTATGTTATCCTCGACCTCAACCCCTTCTAAATCATGGAGCCTACGATTTTCCTGGCTATTATCTCATGCGCTATGGGATTAGTTGAGGTGCACGTAAGCTGGCCTCACCGACAGTTATAGAAAATTATTAAAGGTTGATGGGGCCATGTGGAGGAGTACTTTGCATGGACCTGTGGAGTAGTTAGGAAAAAGGTGCCAGACACTATTTTCTTCAAAGAAAAAACGAGACATATGGAAGAATTTAATAATACGGGATTTGAAAACATCCCTTTTGATGCTAAGAAGTCATGTAACTTGGTTCCGTTACTGAAATATTTCTTCCTCAATATCCAAGAAAGTGAAGCTCTACTTTTGGTGCAGGGAGGCTCTCCAAATGAACGGAAGATTGCTAAATTGTGTGAATATGCTGCTAAAAACCCTTTCCGTATCCCCAAAGTTAGTGACCACTTTATTTTAGTAATGCATCCATGAAATGAAATAAGCAGTGCTAACATATTATTGAACTCTAATTGTTTCATATAGATTGCAAAATATCTTGAAGAAAGATGCTACAAGGAGCTGCGGTTAGACCATGTTGAGCTGGTTAATGTCATTACGGAGGTGTATAGTAAGTTGATTTGCATGTGCAAAGAGCAAATGTAAGTTGTTTCTTTTCTTTTTGACTGAATTAGCTTTATGTTCTTAATGAGTACGTATCTTGATTCTAGTTGAAAACCTTCACATGTCGCTCGCTCACACACAAGCATGCCGACAAAACACACATATGCTTTAACAATATGCCTTCTTTAAATTTGGTTATGTTTTTTTGTATCTGTTTTTATTTATATGTTATTGCTTACTCTTAGCAAGCTTTACAAAACTTCGTCATATCTGTCTTTGTGACACTTTTCACAAGTTAGGGGTCTTCACGAAAACAACCGCTCTACTTTTTGGGGTAGAGGTCAGGTCTGCCATACATCTTACCATTCCCAGAGCCCACCTCCACATGGGATATACCGGGTTCGTTTGGTTCCATTGTTTTGCCTATGGTAATAGCTTAAGTACCATATCTATTTATCATATTTCCTGGAATCTCAGATGTGCAATTTGCTTGGTAGCGGTTGTGTTTCGACTATGACAACGGGTTGATGCTCCAATATTGAAATTTTAGGCAATATTTATCTCGTCTTATCAATGTTCTATGCTTATGTCTCCTTTTTTTTTCTTTTTTTTTTTAATTTAAATTGAAATGGTGTATATGAAAATAGTAGGCCAATAATGGTGTTATCTTTTACTAAATTTTCAGGGCATATTTTGCTGTCAATCTGCTGAATGTTTCTATTGAACTTTTGGATGATTCTAAACGAGATACCGTCCAGATAATCGGATGCCAAACCCTAACTAGATTCATCTATAGTCAGGTGATTTTTCCATTTTGTTATTGTGTGTGCGTATTTCTTGACGTTGATTTCAACTGAGATAGGAAGTCTGCATATACGGTTATGGCTACTCAATCAAAGACCCCCTTTTATGTGTTCTCTTACTTCAAGAATGGCTCACTACAGGTGGATGGAACTTATACGTATAATCTTGAAAATATAGTTCAAAAGGTTTGTATGCTAGCCCGCAAACCTGAGGAAGAAGACGAAAAAACACGATTGAGGGCAGCAAGCTTGCAATGCCTTTCAGCCATGGTATGTGATAAACTAATCATTAAATTTGATATAGTTTACAATGTAGTTACGGAATTGGTGTTTTCGTTGGCTTTACGTAACACTTTGTTTACCCGTTAATCTTTTCCCATGCAGATTTGGTTTATGACGGAGTTCTCACATATATTTGTTGATTTTGATGAGGTTCGTCTACTTCTGCCACTTTTTTTTGCTTTTTTGTTCTTGTGGTGGTTCAAGCGAACCGCATGTGGGATTATAGGTTCTAGGGCGGATGTCAAATCACTTCTTTTTCGAAGACTTTCTGATTTTGCTATTTCTGTATTTTATGTAAAAAGTCGGCATTTTAGCTGAATCTAACCTTTTTGTTTTTCCATCTTCCTTGATGGTTTGCTTTTAGGCCATATTTGGCCATCATACGGTAGCTTATTTTCTGAGCTTATTGTAGAAGTCTTTTGGTAGGCCATAACTAGCTTGTAAGCTAGCTTTTTGAAACTTTTCAACAAGCTCTAGGGGCTTTAATCCATTTTCCCCCATTTATGCTCCTAATATTTTTCCAATTAAAATTTCAGCATATCTTATTCGGTCGTTTTACATTGTCATCTTGCTTATTAGCTAGTACCAAACTTGACTTGTTTATGAACTAGCTTATTGATTAGCTTATCAGCTAGTGTGCCAAACATAGGCTTAATATGCTTGCAAATGATGATAATCAAATCATTTATTACGTACTTCCACGATGCAGATTGTACATGTCACTTTAGGTAACTATGAACCTAATACAAACAATGAACAAGATGATGATCGAGGGGAAGCACACCATAATTGGGTAGATGAAGTGGTTAGATGTGAAGCGAGGGGGCCTGGCATCGAAACCGACTCCAGCTACATGCTTGTCAAACCACGGGCAGAAAAGAAAGATCCTTCCCTTTTGACGAGGTATAATATTCATTCCTTCCCTACGACGAAAAGCTTATATTTCAATAACATGCCTTAATCGATTGTATTTTATTTGAGACTTGTTTCTTTGCAGAGAGGAGGCTGAGACACCAAAAGTATGGGCGCAAATTTGCGTTCAAAGAATGGTAGAACTTGCCAAAGAAAGTACAACAATGCGTCGAATACTAGATCCAATGTTTGTCTATTTTGATACTAATCGACAATGGGTTCCTCCTCATGGGCTAGGCTTGATCGTTCTATCTGACATGGCCTACTTTTTAGAGAACCCAGGTACATGTTCTTTTTTGGGTGCAAACTTTTTCGCACACTTTTCGTAAGCCGAGGATCTTCAAGGAAACAACTGCTTTACTCTTTGGGGTAGAGGTCAGGTTTGAGAATATCCCGCCCTCCCCAGAACCCACCTCCGGGTTGGATATACCGGGTTCGTTTGGTTTGGCCAAGAAATATTTTACTCGATAACAAGGGCAAAACAAACATTTTTTCCTAATATTTCACATTGTTTTTATTTCAGAGAACCAACAGTTGATATTAGCTTCGGTTGTTCACCATTTGGACCACAAAAATGTTTCACATGATCCGGAATTGAAATCATATGTCATACAGACCACGACTGCTTTGGCTTGGCAAGTTAGGTCTGAAGTTGCACTCAAAGATATTGGATTTGTGAGTGATCTCTGCAGGCATTTGAGGAAAAGCCTTCAGGCAACTGTTGAATCGGTTGGGGAACAAGAGTTAAGCTTGAATACTTTTCTCCAATCCTCAATAGAAGATTGCTTACTCAAAATAGCCAAAGGGGTATGCATTTTCTCCCAATAAATTTACCCCTCGAGGTCTTAAAATAACTGTCCACATTTCTATTTTAGTTTGTCCCAAAATAAGTGTATTTAGCAAAGAATACACATTACCTGCTACTAACACTTTAGTTGGACAATTAAATCTTACAAATAGACTTCAGTTTATGTGTCTATATATAATTATATATGATATACATATTTGCCGCTCCTAAGGCTTGATGATTTTGCTAGATTGCTGATGCACGCCCTCTGTTTGACGTGATGTCAACAACACTGGAGAAACTGCCTTCGAGTAGTATCGTTGCCAGGGCAACTACTGGATCGATGATTATTCTTGCCCACATGATTGTCGTAGCATCTGTTTCCTCAAGCTCACAGCAGGTGAGAATTGAGATGCCTCCTATATGCAATAAGTATCGATAATGATTGCCGAATCTTCAGTTTTCAAAAATAATGTAAATTTTCAAACTTTCTTGTACCAGGTGTTTCCAGAGGGTCTTCTTCTTCAACTTTTGAAATTAATGCTGCATCCAGATGTTGAAATCCGTTTGAGCGGGCATCAAATTTATTCCGTTCTTCTCATCCCAAGTTCTAATCATTTGAGACGTGACGCTTCTAATCATACAAGAAGATGGAGTTCTGATACTGCATCCGTGTTTGCCTCGGTTACATCTTTGCTCGACAAGCTTCGGAGAGAAAAAGATGGAACGGAGGCTGAGAAACGTGAAGTTTGTATTCAGGATGTGTGGGGCCACAAGAAATCCCCCAACTTTCAGAAAATTAGCTCGATCACAGCCGGAGAATTAACATTGTCTGATGCAGTAAGCACCTTTCATCGTGATTACACACTACAACAAAATGTCTTGATAGACTGTTTCGTAGAGCTTGCAATTATAGGGCCAAACATTTGTACGCCCTGTGTAAAGGTGTTACAATAGGATGTTATGATGTATTTGGGCATCTTAAAAAGTATTTTAGGACACTTTTTGAGATAAACTGTCTTATTAGTGTTTTTTGTAGTACACTTTTGTGAAGTGTCTTGTGAACACATCTTGCTATAAGACATTTTTTCAAATAACGTCATAATTCAAGAAGTGTCAATAAAACTTGATAGGCCCCCAAAAACGTGCTATCAACTTATTGTAACAAATTTGCATATGATGCACAATTGTTTGGTCCAGTAAACTCAAGTCGCAAGGAAGTCTATTAGGACATTCAAACATATTTGGCTACCTATAAAGCTGATTTCTTTCTAGTGACATGTTATGCATGATTGATTTCATTCATAAGCAGTAAGACAAAAGGAGATTTAATTTTTCTTTTTCTTTTTCTTTGATGATTGTGACAGGAGCAATCTGTTATGAAGTTTAGCGAGGATCAAATAACTCAATTATTGTCCGCCTTCTGGATACAAGCCAATCTTCTTGATAACAGTCTTCAAAATATCGAGGCTCTAGCTTATTCTTTCTGCTTAACGCTCATTTCATTGCGGCTTAGGGTGAGATGGCTAACATATTTTATTTGCTTCGTGTGATGCCATGTCTCATTATTTTTATGAAAATATGTGGAGCCCATTAGATTGCTCTCCGAAAGAGCACTTGTGGAGAGAAGAGAGGTTCCAACATATATTGAAATAGAGAGGTCCAAGTCTAGCCTAGCCGATGTGGGACTCCATCACTTTTATTGGCATCTAACTTAAATTTCATGTGCTAAATCATCATTCACACATTGTTCTCTTATTAGATATTCTTAAAACTACATTCTATCTTGTATTATTGCAGAACCCCACTGATAATCTCGTGGTTCGCATCTTCCAAATTCCCCTGTCACTATGGAAGATGTTGTTGGATCATAGCAATGGTATGTGAAACTGCACTTCTATATTTTTGCAAGCAGGGGTCTTCATGGTAACGACCACTGAGTTCTTTTGGATATAGGACAGGGCTGCATACATCCTCCACCTTCCCCTGAATCCCACCTACGAGTGGGATTTGCTGGGCTAGTTTGGTTTGGTTTTAGATTGTTTGAAAAAGATTATGGAACTTGCTCGGTTTTGCTATTGGTTAGGAATGTTATATCCGGCACACCAAAGATCACTTCTTACATTGTCGACTGCAATGCTGATGTTTGCGGCCAAGATGTATCAGATTCCTGATATTGCTGATGTATTTCAGCCAATGCTTAAATCTGACGTAAGGTTCCACTTTAACTATTTATAGGAAAAGTATGTACCTAATAATTACTTTTTGTTACTTAATTTTTCTCATGGCTAATCTTTATTCCTACTATCTGTTTGCTCACACTCTTCACGAAAACAACCATTCTACTCTTTGGGGTAGAGGTCAAGACCCTACTTTCTAGTGGGATTTACTGGGTCCGTATGGTTTGGTTATATTTTGGCTTTTCTTGATAATCTTTTTCACTTCAGGTCGATAACTACTTGGGTATCAGTGATGACTTCCAAGTTTATGTGAAGCCTCAGGCAGATGTAAATGAATATTGTTCCGACCACGATAATCAAGCGGCTGCTTCCCTTCTTGTTGAGTTGCAAAGCAAGATGTTCAAGTCTTATGAGATAATTGTTGATATTTTAGTCCGCAAATTATCTAAAGTAACGGAGGTATGGTTTCCGATGGATCATACATGTGTTTGTTTTTTCGATTTTCTTTTTTTTGATGGATTAAGAATTGACGTTTTCTTGTGTGTATGTCTACTTTTATAAGATGGAGGCAGAAGAATTACGTATTCAGTTGTTGGAAACTTTCATGCCTGATGATGCAACGTTCGGTCCAGAGTCGATGCTTCATTTGGATCAGTATCATAGAGTTGCTCATTCAAAAGAATCCCTTTCTTTTGACACGGTAGCCTCTTTTACATATTTGTGCAATACTCCCTCCGTCCCATAATAAATGTCCACAATGAAAGAGACAAACAACTTTAGAAATGTGTAATTATTACACTTGTAATTATTACACTTGTAATTAACTAAATGACAATTTTACCCTTAGGGAGTAATGAGTTTCTCCATCTCATAATTAAGGGTAGAATTGGAAAGTAGACACTTACTTATTTTGGGAAGAAGGGAGTATATATTTTGGGTCATTTATTTTCTTTTGTTTCTGGGCTTTGTACATGTGCTAATGATCGTTTTGTGCAGGACTTTCCTACAAATTCACTAGTTGAGGATGATGCAACAAGTGAATCATCTGTTTCGGATCTTTCCCGCTTTATATCTAAATCTCCTACGCCAAGCTCAATGTCTCATGTTATTAGCATCCGACAGCTTCTTGATTCAGTAATTTTTCTCTTCCCTTTCTGTCTCTAATCGCTCCATCTGCCCCATGAAAATTGCAAAAAGTTCCATTCTTGGGATGTTCGAAGAACATTACAGAATTTGGTTTTTTTGGGAGAGATTTGAAGTTAATATCTCTATTTGTCCATTATCATGGCGTTGATTTGGGCATGCTAGATCAATTTATTTGTCATGTTTTAGATTTTTGACAGAGTTTGTTAGGATATGTAGAATTAGAAGCCTTTTGAGTCACTCTCTAAAAGAGCCCTTGTAGAGAGAAGGGATGTTCTTATATATATATATATATATATATAGAGAGAGAGAGAGAGAGAGAGAGAGAGAGAGAGAGAGGACGTTTCAAATGCAACCTATCCTATTTGTACAACCAATGCAACCCAATCAATTAAAATATTTATGGAAATGATGAGGGTTCATTTATTATGATTTGTATATCTATGGAATTTGATTAGAGTTAATTAATTATGATCAACGCTTTATATTAGGAAACAATCAAGATATTTATGAAACCACATTCACTAGATTAAATAGACGGATGAAATTGAGTTGTAATGGTTGTACAAATAAGATCGTTGCATAATAAACCACTTCTCTCTCTCTCTCTCTCTCTATATATATATATATATATATATAGTCTCTTCTTTTACAAACCCTATAATTTCTAGATTAGAAACCAATTCTCATGTGTTGTTTCATTTATATGTAACATGTGTGAAAATGCAGTGTATACGGTGTTGTTTCATATGTGAAACATTAAAGACTTCTTTTCACATAGAAAACAGTCCTGAACGTTTCACATATGAAACAACATTGTAGATACACTGTATTTTCACACGTGTTGTTTTATGTGTTATTTACTGGTTCGTAAGTTTGTACAATTTATTGAGTTTGTAAATGATTATGCTTGTGGTGTGTGTGTATATATACACATATAGACAAAAAATCGTGTAAAAAATGAGTTTAAGGTGAGAAGCATAAGAGATTTGAACCCTTGATCACTTTTAATCTCACCTCACCCATGAATTGCATTTGATACGGGAATTGACCCGGTGCTGATCTTCAATTAGGATTGATCTGAGTGTGGAGATCCCTTCTTACCCTTCTCACCCTTCTCACCAGAACTTCCATTCTCACAGGAACCCGACCCTATATATATATATATATACAAGTTTGATACACCCCTCTAACATAGGCTAGAGAAAGAATGTCGAGTCCCTAGGTGGTGATGTTAGAACCTTGCTCTGATACTATGTTAAAAATATGTAGAACCCTTTTTAAATCTCTTACAAAGAGTCCGTTTTAGGATGTTCCATGGAAACCAAACTTATTTTCTTATCTTCCAAGTAAAAGAAATTAATATTTGTAAATGATTCCTTGGGGCATAGGCACTAGAAGCAGCTGGTCAAGTGGCGGGCGCATCTGTCTCCACTTCTCCCCTTCCATTCAGCGCCATGGCTGGGCAGTGTGAGGCCCTGGGCACAGATTCAAGAAAAAAGCTGTCGAGTTGGCTTTCTTCTGCAAACGTTGATACAAAAGCAGCAGCAGCAGCAGCAACAAGTGCAGATATGGGTGGCAGTCGGAATTCAAACGTCATCAAGGTGATTAAGATAATTAACATTCAGTTTCTTGATATCTTAATTTCATGACCGCTCATCATGTGACTGGCTTGTTTTGTGTGTGTGTGTGTGTGTATATATATATATATATATATATATATATATGTATGTATATATATGTTTATGTAGATTCTGCAGGGTGAAGATGGAATGAATGGTCTGAGGCTACCACCTGCCAGCCCTTTTGATAACTTTCTGAAAGCAGCTAGATATGATGCTTAGAAATAGCAGCAGATGAAATGTAAGAATGAAGTTGATTCACCCTATATCTAGGACCTTGTTGTATGAATATTTTCTCTTATTTTTAGGGGTGTTTATTGCTTTGGTTTTTTACTTGTATGAGAATATTTACTTCCCAAAAGAGTCGTTGAGAAGCAGAAAGGAGGTTTTCAACATATTTGGAGGAAAAATGGTTGAAATCTAGTCGAAGTAAAAGATCAATTTAAATGGTGAAAACTTGCAAGTTATTATAAATGATCTAACAATAAAAGATGTTGATTACAACGTATCATCTTCATTTGGGAAAACATATTTTAAGTGTTGACTATTACTTACGGTCAAAGATAAATTCAGAGTTTTTCAGAACAATCTAAAATGACAAGTCTAACATTTGAAACTATATTTCACATTTTCAACCATTCATGGTGTATCTCACTTTTCAGAGGTAAAACAACTCCATAGTATTTCCTTTAAACTTTACACCATTGATTGTAAGTTTTAAATAATAGATAACACCTAAACAAACACTAGTAATTAAACGCAAGGTTTTCAATGGACAAATTTGTCAGGAAATAGCCTGAAAATCAGATTTCCGGTGGATTTCCCAGTCGAAGAAAACTGAAAATCTCGTTAGAAAACATGATCTTTAATGGAATTGTTAAGAGTTGTTATAATTTGATGCAATTTTAGACCAAGGTGTTTCTAAGCCCACTATTTGGAAAGTCTACACTGGACGGCCCAAGGCCCATAAAGAGAATTAGTTAATTCTTGTTATAAAAAAAGGTTGTGTGCGAGAGGGAAAGACATGCAGAATAACAACCTTTTTGTTAGGATCATAGCTCGTGGCTGTGAGGAGGGAATTACTTCCCTGGGATCCATCTGTGGATTGTATTTCTTCTCCCTTTCTTTCATTTGTAACCATTTAGCCTTCCGTATTAATCAAACTAAGACGTAATCAATTCGATTACGTAACACTGGTCCGACCGACCAGATCCGATGGAGACTCGTCTACATGGCCGATTGGAGAATCACGAGGAACATATTCAACAGTTGAAAACAGATGTTCAGGGAATTAAAATGTCCCTGGAAACCATGAAGGAAGATCAGACAAAACAAAAGGAATTTCGGGCATAAATGTTGAGTTGGGTGAAACAACAGCAAGGTAAGCATTAGGAAGCAGGAGGTTCTCAAATAGATTTTGATGGTTTTGTTCCGGTTAACGTCAATTCGGAGAGAGCTGGACAGAGTCTACACTATGCGACGAAGAAGATCAAACTTCTAGAATTTTTTGGTTTCGATCCTCGTGGATGGATTGCTAAGGCCGAGTTATATTTTGAGATTGATGAGACTTCCAACATTCTACGAACTTGACTGGCTCAAATTAGTATGTCGGGAGTGGCTCAACACTAGTTTACAGTGGTCAAGGAAATCCATGGAGAATTGACATGGGAAAAATTGATACAGGAGCTGTTACAGAGATTTAGTGGACTGGAGATCCAGAATCCATACGAGCAGTTGTCAACCATCAGGTAAATTCGATCCATGATTACATAGATGATTTTGAGTATTTGCTTTCCCTAGTTCCTCGTTTGCCCGAATCTCAAGCTCTAGGGTATTTTTTGGCGGGACTGCAACCGGAGGTGAGGCGATGGGTTCGTCTTCATCGTCCTCAGAATCGATTGGATGCGATGTATTTAGCGAAGGATGTTGAGGAGATGCTGCATCCATTTGAAAATTCGGCTTTGACTTCCCGTTATCGATACCAGGGACACTCTTCTTCAAGTGATAAAAACCAGTCTAGACTTCCTTTTGGTCTAGTGGACCAAGGAGCACCTAAGTCCCATGTGCCTGGAAATGTTGGGCCTGATCGTTGACATTCCTTACATTTGAAAATTCTAGGGAGTCTTCTAATTCGACAGTATCTGGTCCTTTGAAGAACGATTCCTCACAAAATTCTTCTGCTCGTTATCGTGGCTCTCGTATGTTGACTTGATTGGAGTGGGAGGATCGACGGAAGAAGGGGTTATGTTTTAAGTGCGGTCAACAATTTGGACCTACGCATAAGTGTCCAGAAGCAAATTTTCGTGTGATTCTGTTAGCTGATGATGAAGAATCAGAAATCAAGGGTGACCTTTGTACGATTGATCTGATGAAAGAGGAGGAAACGTTGGACATTACGAAGGGTGAAATTGGTGAGTGCTCGATTATCGAGTTTATGAATACAAGTGACATTTCCAGATCAACGTTAAATACGGTCAAATTGAACAGGTTGTTAAATGGAATTTCGATTGTTATACTAGTAGACAGTGGTGCTACTCATAATTTCATTTCTTCTCATTTAGCAAATGCCTTGGATATCTCAGTTTCATCATTCTCCGGATTACATATCAAATTAGGCGATGAACACAAGGTTTTTGTGTCTCAAAGGTGTTCTGGGGTGGCAATGACGATGGGCACTTGTGAATTTGTTGTCGATGCATTATATTCGAGATGGGAAATCTGGATATGGTTTTGAGAATTGAATGGTTACGAACCTTGGGAGATGTCATTCACAATTGGGAGTCCTAATCAATGAAGTTTCGGCACCACAACCAAGAGGTTTGTTTACGAGGGAGTTCTTCTTCGTCATCATGCCATGCCTCGTTATAAAGCTGGTTACTAAATACGGAGGCATTATTGGATTCACATGATTACTTAGGTGATAACATCTTTGGACTCTCGTCCATGTTGTCCCAGCAACGATCACAACAATTACAACGACTGTTCGTTGATTTCGTTACTGTTTTTAGTGAGGCTACGGGGTTACCTCCTATTCGTAGCAAAGATCATGCCATTAATCTCCTGCCAAGTCAAGGTCCTGTTTGTGTTCGGCCTTACTGTTATCCACACACACACAAGACATAGATTGAATGACAAGTTCAAGAGTTGTTGTCCTTGGGAGTCATTTGACCAAACAATAGTGCGTTTTCTAGTCTGGTGATTTTGGTCCGTAAAAAAGACCAAATGTGGCGAATGTGTGTTGACTATAGAGCTTTAAACAAGGTTACCGTACCGGATAAATTCCCGATTCCTGGCGCAAATTTTTTCACGAAGTTGGATTTGAAATCTGGTTACAACCAGATTAGAATGAAGCCAAAAAACGTGGAGAAGACAACTTTTCGTACACATGATGGGCATTACAAGTACCTCGTAATGCCATTTGGCCTCACCAACGCTCCTGCTACGTTTCAAGCTATCATGAACAATATTTTCCGTCCTTACTTACGAAAATTTATCGTGGTTTTTTTTAGGATATTTTAATTTACAGCCCAACATGGGAACAACATCTCTGTGATCTCGTCGCCACTTTGAAAGTACTCTTGACTCATCAGTTTGTGGTAAATAAGAAGAAATGTTCATTCGGTCAATCTTCGGTGGAATACCTTGGCCATATCATCAGTGGGAATGGCGTTTCCATGGATCCCAAGAAAGTTCAAGCTGTGATCGATTGGCCTACCCCGAAACAAGTTAAGGGTGTACGGGGTTTTCTGGGACATACGGGTTATTATCGTAAGTTTGTTCGAAATTACGGTTCTATTGCCAAACCATTGACCGAATTGACTAAAAAGGATAATTTCTATTGGAATGACTCGACTCAGCAGTCCTTCGATCTTTTGAAGACTGCCATTACCAGTGCTCCGGTGCTCGCTTTATCTAATTTCTTGATTCCGTTTGTGGTTCAATGTGATGCCTCAGATCGAGGAATCAGAGCAGTTTTGATGCAACAAAACCGGCCTATAGCATTTTTCAGTAAGGAACTTAGTGATCGGAACCTTGCGAAGTCGGCATACGAAAGAGAAATTATGGCTTTGGCTCTGTCTGTCCAACATTGGCAAAGTTATTTGTTGGGTACCAATTTTGTGGTATATACGGATCATAAAAGTCTCAAACATCTCTTACATCAACGTATTACCACTTTCGATCAGCAAAAATGGGTAGCCAAGCTTCTCGGATTTCATTTCGATATTTGTTATAAGCCGGAAAAAGAAAATAAAGCTGCTGATGCCTTATCCAGACGTGACGATGAAGGGGAAATGAAGGTTATGAACTATCAGCCGGTGTGGGTGCGAGGTGCTCAACTTTTGGAAGAAGTCAAATCGGATATTAACATCCAGCAGTTAGTCAAGGACTGCCAACAAGATCCTCTTTCTCATCCTGGATACATGGTTCATAAAGGTATGTTATACCATAAAGGCCAATTAGTAATTTCACGCAATTCCAAGTGGCTTCCGACATTGTTGCAAGAATTCCATACAACAGCTACTGGTGGACATTCATGATATTACAGAACTTATCAGCGTCTAGTGGCGAATCTTTATTGGCCAGGCATGACCACTACATTCCAACGTTTTGTACAAGAATGCGACATCTGTCAAAGATGTAAATCGAGTTCGTTAACCCCAGCGGGTCTACTGCAGCCGTTGGAAATACCAGCACCTATATGGGAGCATTTATCAATGGATTTTATTGTGGGATTGCCTAAGTCCAAGGGTTTTGATGTGGTGTTAGTTGTAGTGGATCGACTATCTAAGTATAGTCATTTTATTCTTCTCAAGTACCCATACTGTCACACCCCGCTAAAGTGGAAACACGGAATGCTAACAGACAAGCGAGTCTTGGCAACAGTTTAAGAGAAACACTTTCAACAAAGATTCACAATAATAATAATAAAAAAATATTTCATCGACTTAACAGGATTCCAAGGTTACAAAATATTTGAAATACAATAAAAACTGTCTTAATCGATGTGATCCAAGTAATGCTCCCCAGAGTCCACATAACTTACTTAGTACCTGAAAAGCATGGCATAAAGCATAGTCAACTACAAGAGTTGRTGAGTTCACAGGTTTTATATGCATAAAAATAATTTTAAATGCATCAATCTTGGTTATAAATTTATGAGCAATATCTTTAAAATAACGACATACACATGATTGAAAATAGTTGAGCCACTACTAAACCTAAAAAAGCCCCATGAACTACCTCAGAGGTGGTAGCGAACCACATGTGTAGATCATATATACAAGAACTACCTCAGCGGTGGGACTAAACCCCACATGTGTAGAACTCATGCCGAACTACCTCAACGGTGACCACTTGTGTCACATGTGTAGAACT